GTAATAATAATTCTTCCTATGCCAACTTATACCTAATTAAATGTTATATGATGCTGCTTGAAGCATTAATTCATGAGAAAGAGAATAATAGAAACTTCCATTAAGATTTCTCAGTACTCTAATATAAAAATAAGTCTAAGCAAAATTAAGGATACATGAAGAGAAAATTACTAACAATTCCAACAATATGAAAAATCTAAAAGTTTAGCTCATGAAGTTAGGGAACTGACCTTATTCGATATGTCTTTCCTGATAGATTTACATCTTGGGCATATTCTATTTAATATCTTCGTAACTTCTGATAAGAAATATGGATGTTGTATAGTATATGGAAACTTAATTAACCCAAAATGACCTGAAAAGTGGATAATAAATTAAGTACAATTGTCAATCGAATGAACAAATAGGAACATATCATAAAATGATTTTATTCTAAATTTTGCATCACACCTTCATAGTGTTTCAAATCCTGTGCACCACATGTGGAACATTGGGAAGTCGGATTTGGGAACCCTAACCTAGGATCAGTGACCTCACCGATTGCATTTATTGCTAGAACAAATAACTTTTCTTGTTTAGTTATCATAAGTTAGCATTAATCGTTATGGAAAATTAGATCAAAGTATTCTAGAACAATAAAAAGTGCTTAACTAATCAAACATGTCTTTTTTATTCTATACTTGACATATGATAATAACATAAATCATATAATTAACAATAAATACATTGCATATGATAATAACATAAAACATATAATTAACAATAAATACTTGACATATGGTTTATATAGTATCAAATATACAAACCAAGAAACAAGAAAAAAGAAACTAGCAAAAGATGCAATTACTAACATGAGAACATATAGAATGATTGAACTTAGAAATTAAAAATCAGCTTCAAACAATTAAGTTGACTAACTAAAAGCGGTAACAATATTGTGAAGTATCATTTAAAGCTTAAGATTTAAATGCATATTTTATTTCATAGGATGAGGTTCCCTACCTTTCAGAGAACTTTTCATAGGATGAGGATCCCTCATCTTTGCTCTTGACTTTAGAATTGAAGTATCTTTTGGCCTGTTGCTGGTACGAGGCCACATACAGCTGAGCCTTGTTTTGGTGTTCCTTGATTAGGTCTAGCCTTAAGCGCATGAGTGTTTCATTATTTTCTTTGCTGAAGGCTTCGTGTGGAAACATATCAGGTTAGACCTCCACCGAGGCTATGGCTTCACAGCCATATGCTAGGGAGAAGGGTGTTTCTGCCGTTGCAATCCTTACGATTGTTTAGTATGCCCATAATACTTCAGGGGGCTCGTCTACCCAACTTCCCTTCGATTTATCGAACTTTTCTTTTAGGGTATGCTTTATGACTTTATTCACGACCTCAACCTACTATTGGATTGGGGTCGATAGACTGCTGAAAATCTTTTCCTAATGCCGATCCTATCGTAGAAAGTCTTGAACTCCTTATTATCAAACTACTTTTCATTGTCTGTATTGATTATATCCAATATGTCGAAACGACATATGATATTCTAATATATAAAGCTTTTTAGCTTACCTGTTGTAGTCATCGCCAATGGTTCAGCCTTTGCCCATTTGGTAAAGTAGTTGACCATGACTGTTGCAGATTTGACCCCGCCTTTTTGCTGGGATAAGGGTTCGATTAGGTCAATTCCCCACATGGAAAAAGGCCACGGGCTCGATAGAGTGACGAGCTCCTACAGAGGGGCCCGTGGTATGGTGGCAAGTCACTAGCACTTGTTACACTTGTGTGTAAAGTTCGTGGTGTCTCATAGATATTCGGCCAATAGTACCCTTGTTTGAGGACTTTGTAAGCCAATGACAACCTCCCAACGTGATTTGAACATATGCCTTCATGGATTGTCCTCAAAATGTAGTCTGCGTCATTGCTATTTACACATTGCAGCACCTGTTGTATCCCTATTTATATAATTTATTGTTGATTAGGGTGTAGTGAGGTTAACTTGGCCTGGAGGGTCTTAGCCTCTGATTTGTTTTCGGTCTGAGTCCCATCCTTGAGGTAAGCTATGATGGGGTCCATCCACGAGGTTTCTTGCTCGATCGTCATTACTATTTGGTTCGGTGCATTGATGCTGGGAGATGGTAAGAATCTAAAGGGGATGGAATCTGCTCTGTTGTTTATCGTTGAGGCCAAGCAGGGTAAGGCATCGGCCATAGAGTTTTGCTCTTTTGGGATGTGTTATACTGAATATCATTTAAAGGTTTTGAGCTTATCTTTTACCTTCTGCAAATAAGGTACCATTCTTTCTCCTTTTGCTTGGTAGTCGCCAAGGATTTGATTCACTACGAGCTAGGAGTCGCTAAAGATATCAATCGACTCCACTCCCATTTCCATGGTAACCATACACTAGCAACCACAACTTCATACTCTGCTACATTGTTCGAGTGAATCCAAATCTAACTGCACATGAAGTTTTGTCCCCATCCAGGCCAACGAGTAATAGTCCTTCATCCGAGCCTTTCTCGTTCGACGAGCCATTGACATCTAGGCTCCAGGGAACTGAATCCTTAAGTGTTTCCCCGGTTGGTGGGTGTTGCTTCCACTTGACGACTTTGATGGAATTATCTTCTCCTTGTGTTGGTAGGAGAATTCCGAGATGAAATCCGCTAAAGCTTGCCATTTAATAACGGTTCGTGGAGTATATTTTAGGTCGAACTAGCTCAACTCTATGGCCTATTGGGTCAATCTTCCTAAAGATTTTGGTTTTTGAAAAATCTTGTGTAATGGGTAGTTTGTCAAGATCAAGATCGTATTAGCTCAAAAGTAAGGCCGTAGCTTTCTAGAAGCAGTTAGGAGAGCTAACACCAACTTTTCCATTTTAGGCTAACGTGTCTCTATGTTGAGTATGCTCTTGCTCACATAATATACTAGCAATTGGATTCTTCTTAATCATGGACCAATGCTACGCTAATGGCATGTAATCAGATGGATAAATATAATAAGAGTGTTTCACCTAGGATTAGCTTAGATAGCAAGGGAGGTCGTCCAAGGTGGCCTTTCAATTCTTGGAAAGTGCACTCGCATTAGTTTGTCCAATCGAACTTCTTATTGCCCTTGAGCACTTCGAAGAAAGGCAAACACCTGTTTGTGGCTCGAAAGACAAATCTACTAAGGGTTACAACTTGTCCGGCTAAGCTCTAAACCGCTTTGGCTTTGCCGAGCTTTTCATATTTAACAATGCTTGGATCTTTCTAGGGTTCACTTCGATCTCGCATTGGTTCACCATGTAACCAAGGAATTTCCCTAAGCCAATGCCAAAGGCACATTTCAAAAGGTTAAGCTTCATTCGATATTTCCTTAAGATATGAAACATTTCCCCAAGGTGCCCCACATGATCTTCTGCCTTCTGCGATTTCACCAGCATGTCGTTGATATATACCTCCATCGTTTTTCCGATGAGGTAGGTGAACATTTTATTTACTAGCTGTTAATAGGTTGCCCATGCGTTCTTCAGGCTGAAGGGCATAACTTTGTAACAATAAAGGCCTTGGTCCATGATGAACGAGGTGTGTGGTTCATTAGGCTCGTACATCGGGATTTGGTTGTATCCCAAGTATGCATCCAAGAAGCTGAGTAAAACATTCCCTGTTGTTGTGTGTACCAGCTGATCAATTCGGGGAAGGGGAAGGGGAAACTGTCCTTGGGGCAGACTTTGTTTAGATCTGTGAAATTGATGTATGTTCTCCACTTGCCGTTCGATTTATTGACGAGCACAGTGTTGGTGAGTTAATCTGAGTATATGACTTCTCTAATAATTTTACTTCGAGGAGTTTATCAACCTCCTCCTTGAGCTCCTGGGATCATTCTACGTCCATCACCCTTCTCTTTTGAATTGAATTGTTTTTGTTTTTGTTTTTGGCTAAGATTGTTTTCTGTTTTACTCAAAACCCCCCAGCCTTATTCACATCATCGAAAATTCGGCTAGACACTCTTCGTGGGATCGACCCTTGCTTATCTTATTTACAGTTCAGTAGTTAGGTTAGGAAGGTTTTTAATCTTGGTTGCCTACGACAGCACACCACTCTTCGTTGTTCATCTTCGCTCCCAAGCTTGATGTTTGTTGTGAACAGAGATGTATCCTGGACTGGAAATTTTTACTGCACAACAATATATACTTTTTTTTTTTTTTCCAAATTTTCCATTTCCTTTTATCTTGTCAAACAAACTAATTAAGCAACGTGAAGAATTATTTGAGTATGACCTTTCACATAGGAATGGCCAAGAATGGATCCAACCTTATAAATTGTCTTGTCGATTGCATCTTGTAAGTTGTAAAAGCAATAGGACACAAATTTATTCAATTACCCAAACATAATTTCCTCCATCAGTTTTCTTAGTCTGAACCTCTTTCCTCGTTTCAAAAGTCAATAATATTTATAACTGTGCTAAATATGTGCAAGCTCTTCATTACTACATATAATTAACAGCGGTACATGTACATGGATAGTGGATTTCTAGGCCTAATCTTTTACTGCAATATTGTTTAGAAAATGACTGCCTAGCAATTGCTAATTGAAAGAAGGTAATTAACTAATTGGTTGGCACTAGACCTAAAACCATTCCTGATGCTGACGATCATGCTACTGTGACTCCCACAAAGGGTAAAAATTTAGAATTAAGAGCGATAGATCGAGGAGACTGATCGATGCATGGTACCATATATGTGGAATTGTGGATGCACAACAGCTAATAATAATGCGTGTGCGCTCATTATCAATTAATCCCATTTACTAAAAACAAAACAAATATATCACACTATCATTTTCCAGAACTTGACTTATACTAAAACCCTAGTACCAATTACTACTACTACCACTAACACAACTGGTTGCCACGACTTTTGGGTCTGCCCAGCGAGTTGCCCACGCTTTCACCTTTACAAAACACACACAAAACAAAAACATAAATACCCAATAGCTTAACATAATCTCCCAATCTATTTTCTTGTACAATAACTTCACATTATATATGGACGATGATCCCACCAAAGATCCCAAGTTAGACCAACCAGCTTCTCAGCCTCATTCCATCCAAACTCCCACGTGTCAAAACCCATCTTCCACGTGCGAAAAAACTCTGCCTCTGATGGCCTCACCAAGCTTCACCAAGAAACACCCAATGTATCGTGGAATCCGATGCCGGAGCAACAAATGGGTATCTGAAATAAGGGAGCCTCGGAAGAGCTCACGTATATGGCTTGGCACTTATCCAACTCCTGAAATGGCCGCCGCTGCTTATGACGTGGCAGCCCTTGCCCTAAAAGGTGGTGACGCCGTTCTCAACTTCCCTAACTTTGTTTCAAGCTACCCTGTTCCCGCTTCTTCCTCTTCCGTTGATATACGTAATGCGGCTGCGGCTGCGGCGGCTTCGCTGAGAAAGGCTGATCAACAAAGCAGTACAAGTAGTGAAAATCCAAGAAATAATGATCACCAATCACCTGTCAATGATTATGTAGAGTTTATTGACGAAGAGGCACTTTTGAACATGCCTAATTTTCTTGTGGACATGGCGGAGGGAATGATGGTTTCGCCTCCGAGAATGAACTCACCACCGTCTGATGAGTCGCCGGTGAATTCTGATGCAGAAAGTCTGTGGAGCTATTATTGATAATGCTAGCTAGCTGCCTCTTAACTATTCAGTGATCCTGTTTCATCGATGGGTCAAATCAACAAGATGGAAACACAAAAGAAAAAAGAAAATTTATTAAATAAACTTTAGAAAAGAAAATGATCTTATATATATGAAACAGTGATTATCAGCTCGAAGAGTTTCGAAGTTAATTACGGAAGACATTAAAGAGTACTGTTGTTGTCTTGCTTGCTTAGGATTATCAGTTGATAGATTTCTGTACGTGCTTTATATTAAAATTTGTATGAATAGCGTATCTTCCAGGTGCTTTCATTTCCGTAAGTTTCTACAAATCTTGTGTTTCCTGTCTCTGTTCTTTAGTTTACTTTAAACAAAATTAGAGAAAGGCATAGATTTTAATCAACCCAAAAACGAAATATTTGAAGAAAAGTGATGAGGAAGTTTCAAAATCTCCCTCTCATTTGAAGCAAAGATGCATGATAAGGAAGATATTGCTTCATTAATTATTTCTGTCACTAGAGTAATAAGGCATTTTGTGTCTTTTTGGAATTTGAAATTATGAATCATAACATTAGGGGTCCCCATTGGCCCACTAAAATGTCAATATCTTTTTTATGAAAGATTGAAAGCGAAGAATTAGATTTGAACAGTGAAATTCAATAGAGTTGTCTCTTTGATTAAACGCTGCCACTGTGTTCTATAGTCGTGGGTGCAATCATGTGACTATACACGTTTCCCTAACTCAATCTTCAAATTCTACATTTCTTGATTAGCACTAATTAATATGAAGGTGTTTTGAGGAACGCTTTTAGGATCATTCTATTCTGCCTATAGTTTAGTTTAAAGTAATAGAGAGATCCACAGAACAATTACTGTATAAATTTAGGATGAACTATGGGCAAAGTATTTTGAATATGCATAAAAAGCCACCCTAAACTTACAATTAACTGTATCCTTATAATTCAAAGCTTGACTATGAGCACATATATATTAATTTAATGATTTTATGTACATAGCAATACTAATATAATATTAACAAAGATTTTGAATTCATGGTTTCAAGGCATTCTGGTTTCTACATGTCTTCACTTCAAGTAAAAGATTAATTTAATCAAAGCTATATATGAGGGCCTATATACATTTTCTTCTCTTCAAGAAGACAAGCATCATTTGTCATATCTAATGGGAACCTTTTTCTATGTGCAAAGCACTACCAAGAAAGTCAATCCGTAATTTGAAGCATTATATTCGAGAAACTGCATCACTTCTCATCCTCATATAAAAAGATTAGGGGGAAAAAAAAAAAAACCGAAGTTTAACACCTTAATATTTTTGGTGAAAAAGTTTCAAGGATGAAATTCCTTGTAATATTTATAAAACTAATCAGAAACTTTCAGCTAGGTATAAAAAAGACTAGATTTTCATCGTGAAATTGTAAATAAATTATATAATTCTATGGGGACACATGATGGAAACATTATCAATGACGAAAAAAGAAAGAAGGAAAGAAAACTCAATCTTGGCACATTCTAGCCATATGGACATGTGCGTATATTTAATTTGTGAAATGTTATAAAAGATGAAAATGGAAGCGTGGTTGCAAGTCGGCCATGAAATGCAAAAGGGGTTTGCCTTCAATTGTTGAAAAGGTGGCGTCACTAGTTCTTGGCAATTAATTGGTTAATTTCTATTCATGGAATCAAAGAAAAAAGTTAAGTTTGTTGTGGGGTTTTGTCCTCTGATAAAAGATGTAGGAAGCCGGAATTTGACTAGAAAATTAAAAGAGACATGCATGGCCGACATGCCCTACTTCGCTTTCCTAGCTACCTCCTTTTTCTTACTGTACATAGTTGTTCATCTGTCGCCCTCACTCAAAACGCAATTTATATAAATTTCATAACATATTTGTTAGAAATATTTTATATTTCTCATAAGATAGTCCCTTTATTAATTTTATCTTATAGCTGTTTTGAAATAATTAAATTAACTGAAGGTCATGATGATCATTTACTTTTTATGGAGAGGTTATTGCAGTTAATTATATAACTGCAATTTGAGATTTATTAAAACTGCCATATAAAAGAGGTATTCTCTCTCTATTTCTAAATTAAATTCATTACATATGGTTTTTTCTTTATCCATCAAAATAAGAAATTGATAGTAAGGGAATAAAGGGAGAGATATACACTGCCTTATTCTACAATCTCTATTAACATATTACTCATGGATTCAGGTATGTTTTATTGTGTTTTATAAATAGTGAAAATGCATCAAAGTTTCAGATTTTGGGATTTAAGATTATGCAATTTTAGGATATAGAAATATGATTATATTATTGATTTTTTGCCATTGATGGAATTTATAAAATTGCTATTAAGATTGTTTTTCATGTGGTATCAGAGCATTAGGTTTAGAAACTAATGTATTTTCCATTAAGTTTTTTTTTTTTTTTTTTTTTTTAAGGGTTCTTATGGGATGAAGAAATTGATTGGGGTTTGGAAATTGACAAAAATATAAAGGGCTGTTAAGTTTGATTGAGTTTGTGAATATATTAAGTGGTTGGAAAGTTGGTCAAAACCAGATTTTCTCATGATGAAATGTGATTTTCTAGATTAGTTTTTCAATAAAAATTTCCAGAAATTCAGATTCCAAAATTTTTCCAGAAATTTGGGTCAAACATTGACCCATATGTTGATCCAGCCTAATTTCCTTTAAAGCCTATTTGTTTTAGTTTATATAAACCCAAATAAAAGAAGCCCAAGCCATATTTTTTAAGTAAGCCCAATTCAAACCCAAACCCATTAAGAATAATCCATAAAAAAGCCCAACCTATTTAGTAAAACGGGTAAACTCAATCCAGTCAGCATTCAGATCGGTAGACGGGTCAAACCGCTCCAGACTGTTGACTAAACCGATCAACTGTTAAAGTTAACGGTCAACCATCAAAGTTAATGGTCAACGGGTCAAATTGACCCAATTTTGACCTTGGATAGTATTATAGTTATTATTTAAGTTTGATACTATATTATGTATAATTTGTTAGACACTAAAGTGACCAAATTAGAATGGTTATCCCATAGAAATCAAACTAAGTTAGATTTAATTACTCATGATCATTAGATGCTTTAAAGAGATGATATGATGTAGTTGACATGAGTAATTTGAAGTTAATAAATTATAGGATAGTTAATGATCGCCCAAAGGTAGATTAGTTAATCCTATAATTATGAACATAACTATGGTTAATTAATGTATTTGACTGGGTGTGTTTAGTATATCCAAAGATAACAAACATGTCTAACGAAAGTACATTTGATAACCAATTAAGAAAATTACATCAATTAAGTTTAATTATCGTATATTGTTAAATCTCCTAAAAGAGATTTTCAATATACATTTATGTTTTAATAATAATAATTTTTAGTATCTGAACCTAAAATTATGTTTTAGATATAAAACTCAAAGCATTAATGTGTAAGCATAATTTTGTTTTTGCAGCATCTGCTTTCATGCTTCATCTGTTGTTAAGTTTAATGGGTTCAATTATAATGAGTAGAGTGAGCAAGTTGAGTATTACTTGGGTATTCAGAATCTCGACCTTGCACTCATGATAGAGAAACCAACTAATCTCATTGAGAACAACACTGATGAGGAGAGGTCTTTCCATAAAGAATTGAAGAGATCGAATAGATTGAGCCTAAATTTTTACGGATGACAATGGCTAGTGAAATTAAGACCTCATTTCTTGCCATAGAATATGCTAGGGAATTTATGAGATTAGCCAAAGAGACTTCTCAATCTGAGGCCGCTGACAAGTCCTGTATTGGGGCATTAATAAGTAGGCTGACCACCATGAAATATGATGGTTCTTGTAGCATGTATGAGCATGTGATTGAGATGTCAAATACAGTAGCAAGAATTAAAAACATGGGAATGTCTGTGGATGAAAATTTCCCAATTTAGTCTATTTCAAATTAATTATAATACAATTAAAGATAAATGGACTATAACTGAGCTTCAAACTAAGTTAGTACAAGAGGAGGAAAGATTGAGGAAACAAGGAGTTCATTTTGTTAATCTTGTGGACCCGTCCGGAGTTAAGAAGAAATCCAACAAGAAGTATGGAAAAGGCAAAAGGCCACTGAAGATTGATGAATTTTCTGCCCAAATCCATAAGAAGGATAACACTCAAGAAAAGTGTCACTTCTGTAAGAAAGTTGGACACTATATGAGAGACTGCTTGAAACGTAAGGCATGGTTTGAAAAGAAAGGTAAGCCTATTGCTTTTGTATGTTTCGAATCATATTTATCAAAAGTTCCTTATAATACTTGGTGGATTGATTTTGGATGTACCACTCATATTTCTAATACTATGTAGGGATTCCTTATGACCCAAACCATAAATGACAATGAAAGATTTGTATACATGAGAAATCGGGTCAAAGCACGAGTTGAAGCTGTTGGAACCTATCATTTAATTTTAAGTATTGGACATCATTTAGATTTGTTTAATACTCTTTATGTTCGGAGTTATCCCGTAATTTAATATCTTTATCTAAACTTGATTTTAAAGGATATTCTTTTAAATTCGGGAATGGATGTTTCAGTTTATTTAAATATAATTGTTTAATTGGTTTCGGTGTGCTTTGTGATGGATTGTATAAATTACATCTTGATAGTTTATTTGCTGAGACATTGTTGACCCTGGATCATAGTATAGGAACAAAAAGTGCTTCTTGGATGAGGAATCTACTTATTTATGGCATAAACATTTAGGTCATATATAAAAAGAAAGAATGTAAAGATTAGTAAAGAATGCAATTTTACCTGATTTGAATTTTACTGATCTTGGCATTTGTGTGCATTGTATTAAGGGAAAACAAACCACATCCACAGTTAAGAAAGTAGGCACTAGAAGCACAAGACTCCTTGAACACACAGATATATGTGGTCCATTCGACATACCTTCTTTTAGTGGGGAAAGTTATTTTATCACTTTTATAGATGACTTTTCATGTTATGGATATGTCTATTTATTGTGTGAGAAATCTCAATCTGTTAATATTCTAGAGGTATTCATTACTAAAGTTGAGAGGCAATTAGATAGAAAGATGAAAGTAGTACGATCAGATACATGTGGTGAATATTATGGTGGATACAATGAATCTGGACAATGTCTAGGTCCATTTGCTAAATTCCTGGAAATTCAAGGCATATGTGCTCAATACACAATGCTAGGGACACCGCAATAAAATGGTGTTGCCGAAAGGCGTAACCTTACATTAATGGATATGGTT